TTCATTATGTCATAATAAACATGTCATCAGTAACCATTATGTCATAATCAACATGTCATCAATATTCATTATGTCAGTCAACATATATCATCAGTATCCATTATGTCGTAATCAACATATCAGTATTCATTATGTCATATTCAACATGTCATCAGTATCCATTGTCATAATCACCATATGTCATCGTATGACTTTTACTTGACAGCATGCCCAACTAAATGCGGTTTAATGGTCCATGAAAGAGGAGCATTGAATCTCTCATATTGCACTTTTGAGAAGCCAGCTTTGTCAATAGCTTTCCATGTTTCCTCCGTCATGGAACATCCACACATCTTGCGCCATGCAGGGTTCAGTAGTCTTTGTAATACGTGCGTCCAACTATTCCGTAGTGCCGCAGTATGCTCCATGAAATAGAACTTGCCTCCCTGTAGCAAAGAGCAAATATTGTATCATGATGCATGTACATATTGATTTTGATGTATTTTTTGGTATACTATTTATGCATTAAAGTGGGGGAGTCGTCACCTACGCATGCGTCAGGTGGCCATAGCATGTCATTGTTTACAAACAAGCATTTACCCATTAGCCTTTGCGTTCTTAGTGTGTGTTGTTAACGTCGCTTGGGACTCAATTACCGCGTGTGCGCGATGACGACCCTCCCGCTTCAAGATTAAACAGAGACGGTCTCTCTGGCAACCAGTTGGCAATATTTGTTTAGATCACAGAAACAAAATGACGTCCACCTGTAACACAATATATGTCATCACCATCGTCATACCAACATTGATTCAGTTTTGCCCAGACATCTCAGAAAAACAGCTCCGGGCATATCGAAAATAATTATTTAACGCTTTCACACAAATTGGCTGTCAGTCGGCTATAATGAATCGAATCACAAAAAAAATTTTGCAAAAGATGTTTCACTTGATATTCTATCTATGTACTAGTACTAATATTAAACGGAAAATACAGGCATATATGCTCACCTATTGATCTAATAAACGGAAATTCGCCAATCATTGGGTTTGTGTTTTTCCCCAAGATGCATCGCGCGAAGTTAATAGGCAACTAATATGATGACATCAATATGAATGATCTAAAATATCGGTTAAAATAAACCCATTTGACTTGTTTGACACAATGAGTGCGCAAATTTTAAAGCGGGAGGGTCGTCACCTGCGCACGCGCGGTAATTGAGTCCCAAGCGACGATAACAACACACGCTAAAACGCAAAGGCTTATGTGTAGGCGCCTGTTTGTAAAAAATGACACGCTATGGCCATCTGACGCATGCGCAGGTGACGACTCCGCCACTTTAAAGTATACCATTTTATGATAATATCAACAAAGGGTTAGGCTGAAAGGACACAATCGAGAAATATGACCGCAACTTCTCCTATACTAATATGTATTTGAGACGGCGTATGCCGAGTGTGTACAATTCTGCACAGAACTTGACTGTGAATAGAAGAGATTGCCCTTATCTTTTTATGCGACCTTTGACTGTAGTAGTATATGACTATGAAACTCACTGGTTTTAGAACTCTTTTGATTTCAGTCATTACACCGTCGACATTTTCTACACAACACAATACCCACGTTACCACGACAACGTCCACGCTGTCATCGGCAACTTCCTCCATGTTCTCGCCGAACGCTAACACTAATTTCTGAACGTTGATGTGGGAAAACTTCTTGGCGTTGGAATCTATATAGCTGTCAAATCCTGCCATGGGGTCCACTGGAATCAGTTTCGTCCCCTCCGGGTAGTATTCGAAGTTCGCTCCAGTCCCGACACCGATTTCCAGGACTGTGAAATCGTCACCTGAGCGAGTGGCTCGCTGTTGAAGCATTGGGAGGTCTGCGAACAGGTCACGTTTTATCGGCATCAAATCTTTAGCAAGATTGACCGTTATTCCGTCCATCATACTTGGATATATCATGGGGAATACTCGCTCATGTACAGCGTTAAACACTTTGCTCAAAATCCACAGTCCGGCCACAATGGCTCCGCACGTCGGAAGCCATCTGTAC